TATGGGTTGCTATTGCTGCATTGCTGGACAAACGTAACAGCAGGAAAATGAATTTCACGACTTTTCATGCTAATTTCTAAGTACCGAATATCTACCCAGATTTGGTCGTCAGAAATTTTGCCGCGAAACGCCTGAACTCAATAGCAAAGACAAGTGAGAACAAGCAAGTGATGTGCGCGACATACAGTAGTTATTGATCTATCTTTGTTTGCACTCGAGAGCCATGGCAACGCTCACTACCAAAATGTAAAACCTCCCAGAAACAGAACAGAAATACTATTGTCGTAGATACACGGTATAAAAAAGCGGAAACAAACACCATTCAAAACAATCGCGAAGTGGGAAATAGAAAGTTCTGGCCAGGACATAGCTCTGTCGCCAGAGCTGTATTATTTTCCTTCCACCTTTGTCTGTCATACAGATTCCTGGAAACAAACATATATCCAGTTAAGAAAGCCCATGCCAGTCTAGATTATAAAAAAGGCCCATCGTTCCACAGTTTCATTGTTTATTATGAAACTGTTTTTTCTGGTAAAATATGTTCGGTTCAGATACATGTTATTAGTCTACCTTCTACCCTGCCGTTTCTGTTATATAAAGGATCCAAATAAAGTCTTATATTTCCGTTAGGACCAGCTCGACTTTACCACTCTCCCCTGCGGCTTATTTCCAGTTCATTTATGCAGTTGTTTCTTTTGTGAAATTAAAATTATATACTTCTGAGGCTAATTGTAAGATTATGCCAGGAGACAGGAAGCCGATATGAGCTTCTGATTTGTTAACTTAACTCTCGCGAGGGGGTGACGTGACGCTATAAAAATAGCTCGTTGTCAATGAGTACCTCGAGTGACGTAACAATGGGAATTCCGGTTTTTAAAAGAGTTGTTGGTGAAACTACGCATCACTAGAAACCGTATAGAGAAATGTTCATAGATACCTGGAAGTCAGAGAGGTGATCATGTATCGCCTCACGACAGCCAAATTCAATGTAAGTATTAGAGGAGTATTTGTCGATGTGACCGAAAAACACCGTGCTTCTTTCTCTCGACTGGGTCGTCTTGTGGTCAAAGCATCCGCTCGTCACGACGAAGCGTATTTCTGTACGTACCTGGCCGTGATGATTGCTCGCATTTATTGCTAAAAGAAACTAAATTCACTCATTCTTTCGTGACCTGCTGTCATATTTCTTATCCGTTTGGTGTCATATTACATCAAGAACTGGCTTCTGCATTACCAACTTCGGCTTTCCCTCCTAAAACACTGTAGAACACACAATTAATTCACGTGGGGTGGGGTGGGGGTCGGGGTATGAGAGATGGCTAGCCTTTACTTATTAAAGCGATTGCTCGTCGATCTGATGGCTCACATGGTTGCTAAATCGAGAAAACCAATTTTCAGCGTCCCCGTAATGATATTAATTGTTAAATATTGCTAAAAAGCGGCGTAAAATCTAAACCTTCACTCACTACTCACTTACTAGCCCGGTCCAATAACTTTGAAATTACCTTGATCCGCCTATCATCTTTACTAATCAACAACTGACACATGTCTAATAAAAACGTATACACACTTTCCCTGTCAATGTCCCACATCTGAAGTGTTTTTCCTTAGCAAAGCCATTCTTATTCACAGGTTATTGTGATATTCAGTGATACCATTTTATCCTTCCGAGTTTAAAAAAAATATGCGTATGTAATGTACCGCATTGATCGGGTTTTATATCACTTTAAAAATGAGAGCTCCATAGTTAATTCCAGAACATGCAGGAGAATGTTTTCTTCAGATTGTGCATGGATATTGTGAATAATGAATGGAACTACTACGCCGAGACTCCGCCAAATGGTGAGATGGTTTCAGTGGGTGCTGCGAGGTGCAGGTACCAGTGTGGAGGGATGTGCAAGTGGATATTGTGAATAATGAATGGAATATTCGGCTACTGAGACTCTGCCAAATGCAGGGTAGAGAAGTGGCTTGTGTGGTGCTTGGTGAGGTGCAGTGTGTTGTGTGTGTGTGGAGGGGGATGTGCAAGCGGATATTGTGAATACTGAATGGAATCATTCGGCTACGCCGAGACTCTACAATGCAGTAGAGAAGCGGGTTTCCAGGGTACAGGTGTAGTGTGGCGCGCTCGTGTGAGGAGGATGCGCGGATACTGTGGGAATAATGAATGGAATATCTGGGGCTACGCTGAGACCTCACAACGCAGGGTAGTAGAAGTGGCTTCAGTGGGTGTTGGTGGGTGTACCGTGTCTGTGCGTGCGGAGGGGGATGTGCAAGCGGGATACTGTGAATAACGAATGGAATATCTGGCCACGCCGAGACCTTCGCTACAAATGTAGAGCAGTGTGCTATTTGTGTGGGTGCTGTTATAAGTGCAGTGTGTCGGTGGAGGTTGGGGTAGGGGTTAGGACCGGTGCGGATTCCGGCATTTAGAACTGTTCTTCTTCCGGACAACAAAATCTGTAGAAAAGCCAAGTGTCCGCAGACAAGCTGAGCTTCTTGACTGTATTTCGTTTCCGTGGTCTACCTTTAACATACAGCTGTCATCCGGCTGTAGTTATACCTTCCTGGTCGACCTGAGACTCGAGATGTGCTGTGTATCAAACATCTTTGGGGCTTCCGTGCATTAAGCATCAGCACACTGTTTTGTCTCTACTCTCAGCAGCAGTTAAACGTTTCGCAGTATTTCCCCGTTTTATGTGTTTTCGGACGTTTAAGAAAATGTAAACCCTGTAAACGCAAAACACCCGAAACATAGTGCCAATACGCTTGTATCAGGTACATTGAATAGAATAGGTTTCATTTGTGTTTGCAGGCACTCTTAACATGTAATGCACCTCGAGCCACGGTAGACTCTTCTTTGCTGACAATATGTATGTACACTCTTATGTGATGGCTCTTTTCCAAAGTTATGTCACCTCCTGAGAGGGTACGTCTGTCCTTAAACCAATTCAAGTATATTTTAAACATGTTATTATTTTAACCTGTACATGTATATATGTTATTTTGGGTTACGGCTAGATTGAATAGAAATTGGCTACAACATTCCTGAAGGAATGATGTAAATCCAGCTAGGGTCTATGCAGGCAGCAAAGCAACACTATAATCTCTCAAGCACCCTTAGTATTGCGGATCTACCTTCAGTTGTTGGCAATCTATAGACTGTTTCTATGCATTGTATTGTCTTCATGTTAAGATATATTAGATTTTCTTCATACTAGTTTTACATTGATATAAATGTGATATTCTAGTTATTTTAATTCTTTGCAGGATATAAGTATATTATCTGAATTTGTTTTCTACTCATTTATATATTCTTATTAACCTTCTTAGTCACGATATGCCTTGAAATACTGCCAATGCAAATTTTAACCATACTCACCCAAAGTTAAAACCTGAAAGTGCTTCTACCATGGCTACATACAAGAATGTGTCATGAACTAAAACAATTGAAAGAAATGCTATGCGCAACTGGTATAGAGATTAACACGGTCTATAACCAGTAGTACCAATTACTTCAGAGGAATTACTCTAGTAATTGAGAAATATATTCAATGGCATTTATATTGCAATGACAATAACATATATACTGGAGGCATAAGGTGTTATCACATAAACCCGCTGGACACATTCGAGAGTGTGAAAAACATCGATACATCCGTGGCTCATACATGTACAGCATGGCCTGGTAGCCCGGTGCATTTGTAACATGACCCAGTGGGTCTACATTCGTAACACACAGCCAAGTGGCTTCAACACACGGCCCATAGTGGCCAAGCACACGGCCCAGTGGCTAAAACACACGGCCCATGGTCTGGTCTCCAATGAAAATAAAATCGCCCGATTAACGCGGACCCCGAGCGGATCGAACACATCCCAACCCACCCGAACGACCACGGATCTGGAACCGGCACAACACACGCCCACGGAAGCCCGACCACCGCATTAACGGACACGATCCCGACAACGGCCACCACCACCATGGAAATGGAAACCGATCCACCACCAAACCCACCCACCGCCCGAAGCGGATAACACCACACCGACATGGACGGACCCGGCAAGGATGGCTGAAGAAGGCCACAGCCACAGCCAAGACCCCAGGATCCCCGGACACCGACGACCACGAAGCCAGCCCACGGACCCACATCCACCCGAAACGACCACAGATCCACGATCCCGGCCCTTGAAAGAAAGCCAACAGGACCAACAACGGAAAGGGTCAACAAGCCCAGCCACACACAGACACAGACCAACACGAGGCCCACGTGGAGAATATCTTTAGGTTTGCTGGACAATGGAACACGGACCAGGAAAACTGAGCCCCGGAAAGGAACACCATGGACGAGCCGGACCGGAGGGTGATCCCAGGACCAACCCAAGGAGGCATGGAGGCACACAAGGAGGACGGAACACAACCCGGAGGAGGCACAAGGAGGTGAGCCAAGGAAAATACACACACACACACACACACGAGGCACAAACAGGACACACACGTGAGGCACACAACACACAAGGACCCCACAACCCAGAGACGGAGGCACACACACACACAGAGGCACACACAGATCCACACACACACACAGACAAGGAGGCACAAGGACACACACACACAACACACAGACATGGAGATGGAGGAAGAAAAGGAGGTGGAGGTGGAGGGCCAAGGAGGAAATAACACACAAGAGATGGATGGACACCACATGGAGTGGATGAGTGGAGGAAATAGACATGAAGAAATGGAGGTGGACAACTGAAAAGGAGATGGAGGTGGACAAGAAATAGACAAGGAGGTGGAAGAGTGGAAGAGAAAAGATGAAAGAAGAAAGAAGAAGATGGAAGAAGAAGGAAGAAGATGGAAAGAAGGAGGTGGCTGAAATAGTGGAAGAAATGGAGGAAGAAGATGAAGGAAGGAGGAAGAAGGAGGGTGGAAGAAGGAAGAAGGAGGAAGGGTGGATGGAAGAAGGGTGGCTGGAGGGTGGTGGAAGGGCCAGGGAGGCGGAGGAAAAGAAGCATGGAGGTGGCCAGCTGAGTGGTCCCATAACCAAGGAGGCACAGCACAGCGCAGGAGGCACAGAGGCACACAGTTCCAAGGAGGACAAGCCAACGACCGGACGGACAACACAGGAAGACAGCACAACGGAAGGAGCTGGACGGAGGAAGACACAGCCAAGCATGGAGGCATGACCGAGGAAGACACGACCCAACAGGCACAGGCACAGGAAGGATCGCCACAGCAGGACCACGGACAATGAGCCAAAATGGAGACGAAAGCCCAAACGGAATGGATCCACACAACAACCGGCCCACGACAGGCACGACCGACCACACACGACCCAACCAGGACTGAGTGGACCAACACGAGAGCCAGCCACAGGCACAGCCTGACCACAGGCCGAGACACAGATAACACAGGAAGAATGGACTGGAATGGATGAAGACAAAATGGAATAAAGGAGGATTCACGGACACATGGATAACGGAAAGGACACATGGAAAAATATGAAACATAAATAACGGAAGAATGGAATAACGAAGCACATGGCACACGGATGGACAAGGAGACAGAAATGGCCAGTGGAGACACAGGGAAGGACACAGGAAGGAAATGGATGAGACACAGCCGGAAGTGGTGGAAAGGAGAACGAACGGATGGAAGGAAGGACAAGCAGGAAATGGATGGGAAAGAATATCTGAAGAAAGGAAGGAACAATCAAGGATAACTTGTGGACAACAGAAAGAACTTGGAAGATGGATAAATACTGGAATATAATGAAATATGACCAGGAAGAGAAGGAGGACAGGCTTGTGGATAACTGTGGAGGAAAGTGGCCCAGCCCCAGTGGAATGGAAGGATGATTCAGTGGATCAAGACATGGATTCCATGTAATTGGAACAACTGATGGATATAAATAAAGGAAGGAATGGACTTTGATCTCTGAAAGAAGAAATGGAGGACAAGAAGGAAGATGAAGACTGAATGGACCTGAATGGTGGAATGAAACACCAACAAAATATATGGAATGGAGACACATGGAAATGGAGGGATATGGATGGATAGCCCTGGAAATGGAAATGGACTTGACCCCACCTGTGTTCCCAGCAGCAAATGAGTTCAGAAATAGATTGGAGAATCACTCTCCTTCCTTTCCTTCTAGGTTCATGATAGGCCGGTGACCCTTTAGCTGTTGCCGGGTCCTCAGGCATTTTACAATAACACCCATGGTGGTACCAACAGCGCGGGCTCATTCTTGTGTTCCCTCCACACTGTCAGGTAGAGGGAAGGCCGCTTTTGCGCCTCCTGTGAAAGGAGAACATATTTATTCATCCTTGTAACATAAAAGAAGTGGACTCCATTTATATTATTTTTGAGTGTCAACCATGTAGCTTTATCCTGTCACCCATAATAACAAATGTCATACGTATGAAGCATCTTTTTCATATTTTAACGTCACCCCTCATTTTAACGTTATTTTATTTTGAAGTGTCATCTCAATTTCATGTCATCTCATTTCAGCGTTATTTTTATTTTAAGGTCATCTCAGTTTAATTAACGTCATCTCATTTCAGCGTTATTTTATTTTAAGGTTATCTCAATTTAACGTCATCTCATTTCAGCATTATTTTATTTTAAGGTCATCTCAATTTAACGTCATCTCATTTTAACGTTTATTTTAAGGTCATCTCATTTTAATGTCATCTCATTTTAACACAATTCTGAATCTGTTATTGTCCACAATACCAAGATATTTTCCAGTAACGTTCACAAGCTCAATTTGTTTCGTATTTTCATTCCTACTTTGTAGAATTCACAGGGCGAATTTAACAAAATGATAGCACATGTGTCCAGGTAACACCCTTGTGTATATAATGTATTTTGTCTCCAAGTGTGGTACATGCTTATCGGACAAGTCACAACTATAAACACTTAAAATTAGTACAGTGTAGTAAACGAAAATGCCATTGATAAACGAGCATTTCATATCAGCTCTAAACACAATTACATATAGCAACTGCAAAGTGGCAGCTGTGTATGTTCATGCACTTTGATAAACTACTACAGGGTTTGGACCAAGAGGTAACAGTAAGGCAACAAAAATGAACACCATCTCGGTAAACCAAAAGGAGAATCGATCAAGACCAAAAATCACTTTTATTGTCAGATGTTTCTATATGTTTCAACAAGGCGCAATGCTGTTTTCCAGTTGATTTCTACGAACTACAGGTAATGTAAGGGTTGGTTGGTTTGTTGTTTTAGCCGCACTTAGCCATTTACAGGCTATATGGCAACGGTCTGTAAATAATCGAGTCTCCACAAGACAATCCAGTGATCAACAGCATGAGCGCTCATCTACGCAGTTGGGAATCGATGACGTGTCAAAAATGTCAGCAAACCTGACCACTCTCGATACCGTTAGTCGCCTTTTACTATAAGTATTGGTTGCTGAAGACCAATTCCAACCCAAATCTTCACCGGTATGGTAATGTAAGGGGAGAGCACGACATGCAAAAAGAAGACAGAGCCAACTGTTTACTTCTACGCGATCTTTACCTGTCGCTACATCTCATAATGACATTTCCTCTGACACCGGTAGCACACCGCCATCAACATCAGAAATAGAAGTGCTGATCCTGTTGAAAGTCCTATAGTAACAGCATCAGCAGCTTGTGTAGCCCCATCTAAACACACACACATCCTTCGGAACACACGCCAATGCCAGTAGTTGAAGAACGGTATATGTTTCCCCTTTGCACGTCTTACTGCAGACAGATTTTCTTTACATCAGGCCGAAATAGCCATGGTCACATACAGGGTGTGAGACACTGTCCCGAGATGTTACTACAGCCTGAACAGTGCTGACCGTCTCTGGCGTGGTGCAACTGGGACAGATTTCTGAAAGTATGTCTCAAACTAGTTTGAGTAATGATAGGGATAGTAGGGATAGCCTCGTGGTTAAAGCTTTCGCTCGTCACCGCCGAAGACACGGGGTTCGATTTCACATGGGTACAATGTGTTGAAGCCCATTTCTTGTGTCCCCGCCGTTATCTTACCGGAATATTGCTAAAAGCGGCGTTAAACAAAACTCTCTTACGCACATAATGATATAGATGTCAATAATAGTGATATGATGTAAGTGTTATTCAGTATATAGCAATGTTACAAACTGGATTTACCTTTGTGAGATCCCAACAATGCAAGCAAGTGACAACAGCTACAATATTTCCATGCTATTTTCTTTCTGAAAAAAGGTGGAAACACAATTATTTCTCAAAATGTTAAGACAGCGTTGTATGCAAAATGAAATGTACCCAGAGCAGAACTTTCTGGGGAGAGTTTTAAACATGCACAATGAACACACGAAAGTCACGACATAACCTTATGCTTGTAAGCTACAGATTGGCGATGTTTGGGGTTGATTCATGTTCCTTGTCAACAGGAAACAAATCACACACTATCTTTCGATGCCATTCAAGTTTTCAGGAAACATTTACTATAGAAATAGAACATCTTGGTTTCCGTACGGACGCGAATGTTTGGTTTCACATGCGTATGTGTCGGTTTCGGGCTTTGGGGTTAGAAACCCAGAAATCATTACTGAATGTAAATCAGACATAATGATTGAATATAGGTTGTGTGTATTTTGACATCAGGTATTGAAAATGTTTTAGGAAGAAATCCTAATCATTGTCATCGTTTGAAACCCAAACCTTTCTGTTCAGACTTGCCTTCTCTGTGTAACTTCTCTCACCTCCTCTCAGACATGTGCGCTTAGAGAATGTACTGTGCATGGGTTCAGCGTGTTACAAGTGGACTATTATTATAGTTAATCTGCTACAAATAGGGCGGTGGGGTTGCCTAGTGGATAAAGCTTTGGCTCGTCACGCCGAAGACCCGGATTCGATTCCCCACATTGGTACAATGTGTGAAGCCCATTTCTGGTGTCCCCCGCCGTGATATTGCTGGAATATTGCTAAAGCGGCGTAAAACTAAACTCACACAGTCAGTCAGTCAGTTAATCTGCTAAAAGCATTGTCATTGCCATTGTCAGCTTCCAACTTTTTTAAATAAGTGGCGATACCCGATGAGCATGTCCCACCATCGCTTCCAACTTCTTTAAACAAGTGGCGATACCCGATGAGCATGTCCCACCATCGCTTCCAACTTCTTTAAATAAGTGGCGATACCCGATGAGCATGTCCCACCATCGCTTCCAACTTCTTTAAATAAGTGGCGATACCCGATGAGCATGTCCCACCATCGCTTCCAACTTCTTTAAATAAGTGACGATACCCGATGAGCATGTCCCACCATCGCTTCCAACTTCTTTAAACAAGTGGCGATACCCGATGAGCATGTCCCACCATCGCTTCCAACTTCTTTAAACAAGTGGCGATACCCGATGAGCATGTCCCACCATCGCTTCCAACTTCTTTAAACAAGTGGCGATACCCGATGAGCATGTCCCACCATCGCTTCCAACTTCTTTAAACAAGTGGCGATACCCGATGAGCATGTCCCACCATCGCTTCCAACTTCTTTAAACAAGTGGCGATACCCGATGAGCATGTCCCACCATCGCTTCCAACTTCTTTAAACAAGTGGCGATACCCGATGAGCATGTCCCACCATCGCTTCCAACTTCTTTAAACAAGTGGCGATACCCGATGAGCATGTCCCACCATCGCTTCCAACTTCTTTAAATAAGTGGCGATACCCGATGAGCATGTCCCACCATCGCTTCCAACTTCTTTAAACAAGTGGCGATACCCGATGAGCATGTCCCACCATCGCTTCCAACTTCTTTAAATAAGTGGCGATACCCGATGAGCATGTCCCACCATCGCTTCCAACTTCTTTTAAACAAGTGGCGATACCCGATGAGCATGTCCCACCATCGCTTCCAACTTCTTTAAACAAGTGGCGATACCCGATGAGCATGTCCCACCATCGCTTCCAACTTCTTTAAACAAGTGGCGATACCCGATGAGCATGTCCCACCATCGCTTCCAACTTCTTTAAACAAGTGGCGATACCCGATGAGCATGTCCCACCATCGCTTCCAACTTCTTTAAACAAGTGGCGATACCCGATGAGCATGTCCCACCATCGCTTCCAACTTCTTTAAACAAGTGGCGATACCCGATGAGCATGTCCCACCATCGCTTCCAACTTCTTTAAACAAGTGGCGATACCCGATGAGCATGTCCCACCATCGCTTCCAACTTCTTTAAACAAGTGGCGATACCCGATGAGCATGTCCCACCATCGCTTCCAACTTCTTTAAATAAGTGGCGATACCCGATGAGCATGTCCCACCATCGCTTCCAACTTCTTTAAACAAGTGGCGATACCCGATGAGCATGTCCCACCATCGCTTCCAACTTCTTTAAACAAGTGGCGATACCCGATGAGCATGTCCCACCATCGCTTCCAACTTCTTTAAACAAGTGACAATACCCGATGAAGCATGTCCCACCATCGCTTCCAACTTCTTTAAACAAGTGGCGATACCCGATGAGCATGTCCCACCATCGCTTCCAACTTCTTTAAACAAGTGGCGATACCCGATGAGCATGTCCCACCATCGCTTCCAACTTCTTTAAATAAGTGACGATACCCGATGAAGCATGTCCCACCATCGCTTCCAACTTCTTTAAATAAGTGGCGATACCCGATGAGCATGTCCCACCATCGCTTCCAACTTCTTTAAATAAGTGGCGATACCCGATGAGCATGTCCCACCATCGCTTCCAACTTCTTTAAACAAGTGGCGATACCCGATGAGCATGTCCCACCATCGCTTCCAACTTTTTTAAACAAGTGGCGATACCCGATGAGCATGTCCCACCATCGCTTCCAACTTCTTTAAATAAGTGGCGATACCCGATGAGCATGTCCCACCATCGCTTCCAACTTCTTTAAATAAGTGACGATACCCGATGAGCATGTCCCACCATCGCTTCCAACGTCTTTAAACAAGTGACGATACCCGATGAGCATGTCCCACCATCGCTTCCAACTTCTTTAAATAAGTGGCGATTTCTTTTAAATAAGTGGCGATACCCGATGAGCATGTCCACCATCGCTTCCAACTTCTTTAAACAAGTGGCGATACCCGATAAGAGGATGTCCCCACCATCGCTTCCAACTTCTTTAAACAAGTGGCGATACCCGATGAGCATGTCCCACCATCGCTTCCAACTTCTTTAAACAAGTGGCGATACCCGATGAGCATGTCCCACCATCGCTTCCAACTTCTTTAAACAAGTGGCGATACCCGATGAGCATGTCCCACCATCGCTTCCAACTTCTTTAAATAAGTGGCGATACCCGATGAGCATGTCCCACCATCGCTTCCAACTTCTTTAAATAAGTGGCGATACCCGATGAGCATGTCCCACCATCGCTTCCAACTTCTTTAAATAAGTGGCGATACCCGATGAGCATGTCCCACCATCGCTTCCAACATCTTTAAACAAGTCCCATGAGCATGTCCCACCATCGCTTCCAACTTCTTTAAATAAGTGGCGATACCCGATGAGCATGTCCCACCATCGCTTCCAACTTCTTTAAATAAGTGGCGATACCCGATGAGCATGTCCCACCATCGCTTCCAACTTCTTTAAACAAGTGGCGATACCCGATGAGCATGTCCCACCATCGCTTCCAACTTCTTTAAATAAAGTGGCGATACCCGATGAGCATGTCCCACCATCGCTTCCAACTTCTTTAAACAAGTGGCGATACCCGATGAGCATGTCCCACCATCGCTTCCAACTTCTTTAAATAAGTGGCGATACCCGATGAGCATGTCCCACCATCATATTTCTGCCCATAGTTTTGTAATGCCAATGCATTTTCCAATAACAATGTACATGCATTGTCTTTGCAGTAACCTTTCCTGATTTGTTAACTTGTAACCGTTGTTTGTTGCATTTGTTTGTTAGTTTGTCTACTGTTTTACATGACGCTTCAGGGTTGAGTTGTTTCTATATTTGAAAGTTCACTAAAAGCGTTTTCGTCGTTACACAAGAAATTAATAATAATCGGCAACTTTAGCATTTTATTATCTATTTTTTATTATTTATTGTAGTTACTACCGATATTTGTTTTGTTTTTCAACAGGTAAAGCAGCAACTTCCGCAATGTGGCTACTTGCAGTTTTGCTGGGGATCAGTGAGTACCTGTGATATATCTATATCGTAGGGGAAGATGCTTTAGCTCCAATTCAGACATCCAGCTAGGGTCCATGCAGGAAGCAAATGTACTGTAAGTCCCCATAGTCCCTAGTATGGTGATCTACCTTTGTTCTTGGCAATATATATTGTTTTTATATTGTATTGTCTTCTATAGTTAATTTTAGCTTTTCATACTAGTTTTATATCTATATCTGTGATCCCTAGTTTTTACTGTTTTTTTATCCTTTACTGTCCTTCGATTTTATAACTTGACTTTAGTTATTACAACTTTATGTATTATTCAAATCCTCGTCACGATATGGCTGCAATATTGCCGATGTGACGTTAAATTTTAACTCACTCACTCACTCCAATTCAGACTAAGGGTCATAGAGCACACATGAGTTCATACTGTCTTCAAATTTTGCAAATCGATGTTACCTTGCGTCATTACTATTTGTCAGTTTTAATATGTAACAACAATTCTCTTCCAGCTTTACCGGTGCATGGCGATGAAGCAATGCCACTGGGGAATATATGGCGAGAACTGCGACAGGACCTGCCCCTCCAACTGTTACACTGACCCACGGAGAAACCTCATACACTGTCACCAGAACACAGGGAAATGTTCTGAGGGATGTGTTCGTGGTTTCCATGGCGACCAGTGTAATATATCCTGCAGCGGAGGCTGTTTAAACGAAACCTGCAATAACGGAGATGGATATTGTACGTTAGGTTGTAAAGAGACCTACATCGGGGATTTCTGCAATGAGACTTCAGGTACAGTAATTCATGCAGGACCTGAACTTTCTTAACTTCTTTAACTTATGAGACAATAAATAGAAAATCATAAATATGCATTTCATATATTACTTCTTGGTAGGTAGGTACGTAAGTCCCAAAACATTTCAAGTATATTTAAGTTTAACAGGATTTTAATCGTAGTAGTTTTGTCATTTTAATGTATGGCTAAATCTCAGCATAAATGCCACGTCGCTAACGGCTGAAGGGATGGTGTAAATCCAGCTAGGGTCCATGCAGGTAGCAAAGTAATGTAAGTCCCCATGGACTCTAGTATGGTGATCTACATTCAGTTGTTGGCGATCAATAGCCCATTTTACATTGTATTGTCCAAAATAGATTTTTACTTTTAAAGATATCTGCTATCTAGTTTTAACCCATTTTGTGATAATCTAGCAATTTTACTGTCCTTCGTTGACCGGGTTTTATATATCATATGTCTTTATTATGAATTAAGAACTAGTTTGAGTCACTATATGGCTGTAATATTGCCTATGTGACTTTAAAACCTCACTCACTCACTTACTCACTCACTCACTAACTCACTCTCTTGGTAGGTAGCGATTTTGAAACACATGTTAAAGTAAGGTGCAGCGAAGATTCCAAACCTTGACATTTTATAAGGCAATTTTAACCTTTTATGAATTTAATTGCATAACATAGAAAATTGCATTGCAAAATATATTGTTGTAAACTAGGCTATTGCTGGTTACGCCTTTAATTAAACAGGTTTCCGTTTTTCTTCGTTTTGAAAAGCATTGTTCGTATACACAACCACGACAACAGCGAATCTTTCTGAGATCCTTGTCCCAATGTTCTTTGTTAGGACCATGGGTTGCTGAGGATAAATTTGAAAATGGATGTTCACAGGTGTAATATTTCATGGTTACATAGACACTCATATGGAAAGCACATATCTCATATTAATCTGACATACGGATGTTGTTTATTTTATCGTGGATGTTTATTATTATTATTTTTTTCAACCGGTATTTTGGCATCTCCATCCACGACAGTCCCATCCACAGTGACAACCACGGCAGGCCCCGATGACAACAATCTTGTCTTGCTGATCCTTGTCCCAGTATTCCTCATAATCCTCATCGTCTGTATCATCCCTTGCTGTGGTGGTGTTCAGACTGTAAGTGTATATTCCCTCATTATCCCTCATCGTCTGTATCATCCTTGCTGTGGTGGTGTTCAGGCTGTAAGTGTATATTCCTCATTATCCTCATCGTCTGTATCATCCTTGCTGTGGTGGTGTTCAGGCTGTAAGAGTATATTCCCTATTATCCTCATCGTCTGTATCACCCTAGCTGTGGTGATGTTCAGACTGTAAGTGTATATTCCTATTTATCCTCATCGTCTGTATCACCCTTACTGTGGTGGTGTTCAGACTGTAAGTGTATATTCCTAATTATCCCTCATCGTCTGTATCACCCTTGCTGTTGTGGTGTTCAGACTGTAAGTGTATATTCCCATTATCCTGATCGTCTATATCACCCTTTGCTGTGGTGGTGTTCAGACTGTAAGTGTATATTCCTCATTATCCTCATCGTCTGTATCATCCTTGCTGTGGTGGTGTTCAGACTGTAAGTGTATATTCCTCATTATCCTCATCGTCTGTATCACACTTTATCACCCTTGCTGTGGTGGTGTTCAGACTGTGAGTGTATATTCCTCAATATCCCTCATCGTCTGTATCATTAATGTCATTTGCTGTGGTGGTGTTCAGACTATAAGTGTATATTCCTCATTATCCCTCATCGTCTGTATCATCCTTGCTGTGGTAGTGTTCAAACTGTAAGTGTATATTCCTCATTATATTCATCGTCTGTATCATCCTTTTGCTGTGGTAGTGTTCAGACTGTAAGTGTATATTCCTCATTATATCATCGTCTGTACCACCCTTGCTGTGGTAGTGTTTAGACTGTAAGAGTATATTTCTTCATTATCGTCATCGTCTGTATCATCCTTTTGCTGTGGTGTTGTTCAGACTGTTAAGTGTATATTCCTCATTATCCTCATGGTCTCTATCATCCTAGCTGTGGTGGTGTTCAAACTGTAAGTGCATATTCCTCATTATCCCTCATCGTCTGTATCATCCTTTGCTGTGGTGGTGTTCAGACTGTAAGAGTATATTCCTCTTCATTATCCTCATCGTCTGTATCATCCTTGCTGTGGTGGTGTTCAGACTGTAAGTGTATATTCCTCATTATCCTCATCGTCTGTATCATCCTAGCTGTGGTGGTGTTCAGACTGTAAGTGTATATTCCTCATTATCCTCATCGTCTGTATCACCCTTTGCTGTGGTGATGTTCAAACTGTAAGTGCATATTCCCATTATCCTCATCGTCTGTATCATCCTAGCTGTGGTGGTGTTCAAACTGTAAGTGCATATTCCCCATTATCCCTCATCGTCTGTATCATCCTTGCTGTGGTGGTGTTCAGACTGTAAGTGTATATTCCTCATTATCCTCATCGTCTGTATCATCCTTGCTGTGGTGGTGTTCAGACTGTAAGTGTATATTCCTCATTATCCTCATTCATCGTCTGTATCATCCTTGCTGTGGTAGTGTTCAGGCTGTAAGTGTATATTCCTCATTATCCCTCATCGTCTGTATCATCCTTTTGCTGTGGTGGTGTTCAGACTGTAAGTGTATATTCCTCATTATCCTCATCGTCTGTATCACACTTGCTGTGTGGTGGTGTTCAGACTGTAAGTGTATATTCCTCATTATCCACATCGTCTGTATCATCACTTTGCTGTGGTGGTGTTCAGACTGTAAGTGTATATTCCTCCTATTATCCTTCATCGTCTGTATCATCCTTGCTGTGGTGGTGTTCAGACTGTAAGTGTATATTCCTCATTATCCTCATCGTCTGTATCATCCTTGCTGTGGTGGTGTTCAGGCTGTAAGTGCATATTCCTCATTATCCTCATCGTCTGTACCACCCTTGCTGTGGTGGTGTTCAGACTGTAAGTGTATATTCCTCATTATCCTCATCGTCTGTATCATCCTTGCTGTGGTGTGTGTTCAGACTGTTAGTGTATATTCCTCATTATCCTCATCGGTCTGTATCATCCTAGCTGTGGTGGTGTTCAAACTGTAAGTGTATATTCCTCATTATCCTCATCGTCTGTATCATCCTTGCTGTGGTGGTGTTCAGACTGTAAGAGTATATTTCTTCATTATCCTTCATCGTCTGTATCATCCTTGCTGTGGTGGTGTTCAGACTGTAAGTGTATATTCCTCATTATCTTCATCGTCTGTATCATCCCTAGCTGTGGTGGTGTTCAGGACTGTAAGTGTATATTCCTCATTATCCTCATCGTCTGTATCACCCTTTGCTGTGGTGATGTTCAAACTGTAAGTGCATATTCCCCATTATCCTCATCGTCTGTATCAACCTAGCTGTGGTGGTGTTCAAACTGTAAGTGCATATTCCTCTCATTATCCCTATCGTCTGTATCATCCTTGCTGTGGTGGTGTTCAGACTGTAAGAGTATATTCCTCATTATCCTCATCGTCTGTATCATCCTTTCCTGTGGTGGTGTTCAGACTGTAAGAGTATATTCCTTCATTATCCTCATCGTCTGTATCATCCTAGGCTTAGCTGTTGTGGTGTTCAGACTGTAAGTGTATATTCTACTCTATAAATGTGCATTACTTCGACAGTCTACAAAGCACCAACATTCTTCTGTCATTTAAAAACACTGAGTGGAAATAAATCTGCCCAAACATTTATTTAAAATTATTTTGAATTTCAAAATTCGCAAACAAATGAAAGTGGATTATTTATGTTAGGATTAAAAAGTCACCCATTTAAATAATCAAACAAGTACACACTTTCGTATCCTTTCAATTGTCTGTGATGTGTCATGAAAGTATTCATCACAATGTTTGGAATTTGTCATCAACCATTAAACAGACAACAATTGATTTGTAACGAACTTATATATCCAGGCGTTTATTGAACTGCATAAGCTAAAATTCAATTCTCCACATTGTCAGACTGCAACATATGTACTACTGGGTTTTAACGTCGCATGGGGTATACACTTATCTTCACTGACACTTTTAGCAGCATCTCTAATGTCTGACATGTATGATATGTATGACATGTATGATATGTATGACACATAATGTAGAGAACATGCTACCTTTAGTGAAACAACACTGTCTTACATTGTTCCATGTAAGTATGAAACTCTGTGTAGATGTTCATAAAATACCTTTAACACCTTCAATTTTACTTCCGATTCATTTCCAGGAGATCGAGGAGAAGGGCAGAATCGAAAAGAAGATACCCCAATAACGAATTCAGGTAACTATAACTCGTAAACGATAATGAATAGCTTACTTGGGTCACTGTGGAATACACTGAGCGTAAATGAATTTTGAGAAAAAATAGGAATGGTAAAGAAATGCCTTGTCATCAACATCTAAATATGTGTACATACATTGACACGACTGTTGAATGAGCAAAAGCGGCGTAAAACCTCAAACTAAGTCAGTCAGTCAGTCTTGAATGTAAACTGAGCTGAAGCTCAAGTTGTGACCAAGTGCAACTAAATATGAAATACAAAGTATAATTCAAATGTTTTCTTTTCTTTGCAGTACTCTTGAAGCTGGTAAGTATTCCTCAGTTCAGTCAAATTAAGATCTTTTTGGGCGTCATGTCTGTCTGTCTGTCCGTGGATTGTTTGTGAGAGAGCGTGATTTTGAGTTACAAAGGGCGGTAACCTCTGATGTATGTGCACGTTTGAGTGAGAGAGTGAGTTTGAATGAGTGAATGAGTGTGTGTGAATGAGTGTGCATGCGTGTTATCAGGAGGGGCAATCTTGATGGCAATGCATGTATGTGTGTGTGTATGTTGTCTCTTTATATTAGCATAGTTTCTCATCTGATAAGTTATTATTTTATTAATAGTTCATGTCTTAGAGAATATGAATATACAGTAAATATATTAATGCAGATGTTAGTGAGGCTGTTGAACTGATTTTGTGTTTGTTGTATGTGTTTGATAAACATGGTCTGACCATCACATAACATGTTCCAGTTCCCTTGACTGAGAACCAGCTTGGAGCGGAGCAGCCTGAAGCAGACCAGTTTGGTGAGTATACTTGATGTGTTGCTGTTGCCATCACTGAGAGATGTGTTATATTGAATGTATATTTTAATATATGTAGTTTCAAGTGTCAGTAATGTTTCTTGTCTCATTTGCAGTATAACAGATATCATATCTTGAGTCCTGAACATATTACTCCGATTTATAGACCAAACCTTTATTTTTCTGTGAAGTAACTGCGACGTCTATTTTGACAGAATCACCAGGAAACGAGGATACACACAAGATTGTTCCCGACATTGACAAACAGCCGACAGGTATATATATATACTGCGATTTTGTAAACTTTGATTTTTGAGACAGTTCATCTTTAACATTCCCACTTCAGGTAACGGAACAACTGTTTTCCTTCAACTTCGCTGTGGTTCCATCAAGCGACATTTCACAAATAAAGCAATTACTTTTATGGTTAATGAATGGATGGTTCCCTGAGAGGAGATGTTACTACAATGAATGGACAACAGAAATGTATGATTTACTGAGTTATATCTACTAACTTCTTTCAGTGTGTGGTATTATCTCTATCTAACAGATCAGCCGTCCAGGGAGAAGGACATCAGTGACCTGTTCGTGGAAACTGAGGGTTACCGGAAGGTTAAAGACAAACTGGAAACACTTGGCCACGTGACAATAAGCGGTGGTCCAGGAGAAGGTAAAACATCCACGGCCCTGATGCTGGGAGCTGAATACAGGAGACAGGGGTATGAAGTGGTACTGGTTGAGGACGTTGGTACTTTCCAGTTGTCTGATTGTCTGTGTAAGGGTAAAGACGTCTGTGTCATATTCGATGACATATTTCAGAACGTTGGGCCATCCATGGACGTACATCGTCTGAGACAAGTTCTGTATGAGCTCCATGGACATCTTGAACCCTGGAAAACCAAGTTGGAAAGAAGATACAACATCCTGCAGCAGACACCAGGAACGGAACAAAGAAGAAAAGATCGTCTGAACTTGTATTTTATATTTACCACAGATTCCAACAACCTTGAACAAGCAAGGCCAAAACTCAAAGAACCTATATTGTTCCAAAATTCTTCAGTAGTAGACTTGACCAAATTGATGACAGGTGAAGAGAAGAAGGCCATATGGTTGAAACATAAAGATCATTACGACTGTAAAACTGAGGTCAACGTGAACATAATTATTGCATACGAGGAAAGGGTTGGTTTTCCTCTGGCATGCAAGCTTTTCACAAGATATGCCCCTTTCAAAACACAAAGAATCGTTTTTGAAATGCCTAAATTCCATCTAAAACAGGAACTGCATAAGAACATAAATCACCTTGACGATCAGTCAGTAATATTCCTGTTGAGGTCACTATGTGGAGGTGAACAGAATACAAGAAAACGGCACACTGGATCTGACAACAAAATACAAGACACACACCTGAAGGATGTTTCAGCCCTTGTCTCATGTTCCAATATTCCTCTAATACAAAACATGTGGATGTCTGCCATATTGAATACTAACCCAGAGCTGTTCCTCCATAACTGTAGTTTAAAGTTCATCTGGGACCATGTACGTGATCAGCAGCATGACACCGCTCCAGCAGAACAGACTGTCATTTATTTCCCAGGTGCTCACAGTGACGTCATCACCGCCAGACTGGCTGAAGCTGTTGCTGATGGCACGTTCAGTAACTACATCATGCATCCCATCTGGAAAATGAAGGAAGTTGCAGACAAAGTGAATCAAATGTTTCCAGATGATGGGACCAAGTCTCATGATACAAAGCACGGTATTCTCCATTATGCCTGTTTCATGGGGAATAACGACATCATAGACCGACTCCTCCCCCACTGTGACATCAATAGACGTGCTGTGAATGGCTGGACGCCAGTTATGTTTGCAGTTGCTGGTGGACAGATGGATAGTTTGAAACTTCTAGTGGTTCATAAAGCTGATATCACACTGTGTGATGCCATGAACAATAACCTGTTACATTTGGCTTGTCAGTATGGAAGTATTTCACTTGTCCAATATGTTGAAAAAAGCTGAAGAAAAGTAACACTTGTCATATCAACAGTCGAGGAGGAATGGCTGGACACCGATTATGCATGCAGTAGTCGTGGGCAAGAATGATCTCTTTGATTATCTAGTCAAACAAGGCAAACGTGACTTAACCTTACGGGATAGCAATAACAACACTGTTCTTCATCTGGCATGTATGTATGGAAATAAAACCATTGTTAATTCGTTGTTACCATCAACAGACAAAGATTGTCAAGGGAATAACGGCATGACGCCTGTGATGTGTGCTCTGTTGTCAGGGAGGATGGATGTGTTCGACCTCGTGTCACAAAATGCAGACCTGTCATTGACTGACGATGACAACAACAGTCTGCTTCATTTAGCCTGCCTCCTTGATGACATACCCGACATTCTACTGACAAAGATTGACGCTGATATTCAAGGAAATCACGGTTGACGCCTCTAATGAAGGCAGCTATCAATGGATCAAAACATGCATTTGACCAGCTGGACAAAGCAAAGACTAATCTTTACTTGAAAGACGACTACAACAACAATATCCTTCACCTGGCATGTCATGGTGGACATGTCTCCATTGTGAAACATCTACTGACAATGTATGACATCAACAGTCGTGGGAATAAAGGATGGACGCCAGTTATGTATGCAGCTGCCAGTGGAGCGAAGGACGTGTTTGACCTGCTTGTGTCTGAGGGGCTGACGTGTCCTTGAAGGATGACTACAACAACTCTGTATTTCACTTAGCATGTGTAGGTGGGAACCTATCCATTGTGGAATGCCTACTGCCAAAATCTGAAGTCAACAGTTCGGATTACCTCGGCAGGACTGCACTTATGAAAGCTGCTGAGTCAGGGCACATTCGTGTTTTTGATTTTCTTGTGTCCCAAAAAGTTGATCTTAAACAAACTGACGACTTCAATAACACCGTCTTACATTTTGCATGTGAGGGAGGGAATGTAGACATTCTTCAACATCTGCTGACAACAGCTGACCTCAATGCGAGGGGAACGAATGGCTGGTCACAAGTTATGGTAGCAGCTCGATTTGGAAAGTCAGATGTTTTCAACTTGCTTGTTTCAAAGAAGTGGATCTCACTCTGAAAGACGACCAGGGCAACAACATGCTTCACCTCGCATGTCAGGGAGGAAACATGTCGATCACAGAGCATCTGCTACCACTGTTTGACATCAACAGCCGTGGACAGGATGGCAGGACGCCTGTGATGTACGCAGCTGTCAACAGAGTGAAGAGTGTGTTTGATTTGCTTGTCTCAGAGGGAGCTGATACATCGCTGAAGGGTGACCACAACAATTCCGTGTTTCATTTAGCTTGTCTAGGTGGAAATAAGTCAATAGTGGAACAACTACTTCCAAATGTTGACGTCAACAGTTTGGAAGACAATGGGAGAACAGCAATCATGGAGGCAGCTTTTTCCAGAAACAAAAATGTTTTCGATTTTCTGGTCTCAAAGAACGCCAATGTAAAAGTGTTCGATGACTACAGAGATAGTGTCCTACACTCAGCATGTAAGGGAGGCGAGACGTCGATCGTTCAGTGTGTTCTTCAAATGTTTGACGTCAATACCAGGGAAAAGAAGGGTTTGACACCAGCGATGATAGCAGCTTCGTTAGGAAACAGGCGTCTGTTCAACGTGCTTGTGTCACAACAAGCAGATCTAACTCTTACTGACGACCACGGTAACAACATGCTTCATCTCGCATGTCAGGGAGGAAACTGGTCCATCATAGTGCATCTGCTTCCACTGTTTGACATCAACTCTCGTGAACAAGATGGCGGGACAGCTGTAATGTACGCAGCCCTGAATGGAGTGAAGAGCTTGTTTGACCTTGTCTCTAAAGTAGATGACATGTCACTGAAGGATGATTACAACGCACCAATATTTCATTTAGCTTGTCGTGGTGGGAACGCTTCAATAGTAGAATACCTCCTACAGCAGAGTGATATCAATCACCGGGGATTCAACAACAGGACAGCTGTAATGGAGGCAGCCTTGGGGGGCAAAGCTAATGTTTTCAGTCTGCTTGTGTCAAAAGAAGCTGAGCTGAATCTGACCGACGACTACAATGATAACGTTCTACATTTTGCATGTCTTGGCGGAGACACAGCTATTGTAAGGAATCTTCTGAAGATATTGGACATAAATGCTAAAGGACGGAATGGCTGCACACCAGTTATGCATGCAGCTTGGGCAGGACAGAGGAATGTGTTCAGCCTCCTTGTGTCACAAAGTGTTGAGATGGATCTGCTGGATCTCTCCAGGAACAATTTACTGCATCTTGCTTGTCAGGGAGGAAACACGTCCATCATAAAGTATCTCCTGCCTCTGTTTGACATCAACAGTCTGGGAGAAGATGGGTGGACGCCAATAATGATGGCAGCTCTCAGTGGAAAGATGGATGCTTATGATCTGATTGCAGCAAATGGGGGTATTCCATTTTTGACTACTCCACAGAATGACAATGTTCTTCATGCAGCTTGTCAAGGTGGGAACAAAGCCATTGTTAGGAAGGTCACTGACAGCTTTGGCATCAACACAAGGGGTAAGAATGGTTGCACGCCTCTGATGAGAGCTGTTGTTGGAGGTCATATGAGTGTGATGAAGTTCCTGATGTCCCCAGGGTGCTGACCACACTCTGGTGGACAAGGATGGACTCACTCTTCTACATCTTGCGTGCAAATTCGGTCACCTTGACATTGTGAAACATATATCAGACAAGTTCAATATAGATACTCAAGACAAAGGTGGATTAACATGCATCATGACATCAGTGTTACATGGTAAAGTTGCAGTGTTTGACTACCTGAGAAGTAGAGGTGCTGATCTGACACTGGTTGACAGTACAGGTGATGACGCCTTAAATATTGCCTTTAAAGTGGACTGCAGACAAATCATAGAAACACTTACATCAGGTGGAGAGTCAGAGAGGAATGTCAAGCCATTGAATGACTTGATGAGATCAATAGTGAGGTCTGACGTGTACCATCTGAATATGTACATGCCAGACAGAGCTTAAATTCGGGAGCTAGAGATACCAAAATGGTAAAATAAATCAAGAAAATGACACCATTGATTATACCGATAAAGTCGGTATAGGGGCTTGTGCTTGACTCGAAGGTCTACAGTTACAGACGTCTTTGATAAACGGGACAAGAACTTACCTTGAAGGACTACAGTTGAAGGAGCCTTTAGTACAGGAGGCAAGCATTTAGCTTGAAGGGCAACAGTGAAGAAAGTCCCTCTGAAGGGAGAAGTGTTTTGACTTGAAGGTCTACATTTAAGGACGTCCGTGCTAGAGGAGACAAATACGTAGCTTGAAGGTCTACAGCTGGTCTACAGATAAAGGAGACAAATACGTAGCTTGAAGGTCTGAAGAAATCATTGATAGAGGAGACAAATACGTAGCTTGAAGGTCTACAGCTGAATAAATCATTGAAGAAATCATTGATATTGAAAAGGAGACAAATACGTAGCTTGAAGGTCTACAGTTGAAGAAATCATTGATAAAGGAGACAAATACGTAGCTTGAAGGTCTACAGCTGAAGAAATCATTGATAAAGGAGACAAATACGTAGCTTGAAGGTCTACAGCTGAAGGTCTACAGTTGACAGAAAAATCATTGATAAAGGAGACAAATACGTAGCTTGAAGGTCTACAGCTGAAGAAATCATTGATAAAGGAGACAAATACGTAGCTAGCTTGAAGGTCTACAGCTGAATAAATCATTGAAAGACTAGATCTACAGTTGAAGAAATGATAAAGGACTCATCAAATGCCAGAGAAGATATCATCAAACTACTTTGAAGAGGCAGCAATGAGTGTTTTGTGCATAATGTGTGTACATAAATATTATTCACTGAATATAGGTAATATAGTGGAGCAATGATTGAATGTTGTATCATAATGGACAGAAGAGAACTGTTGTAATTGCCATTGTTTAATGTTGTTTTACTTTCCTGGTTTGTATGTATTGGTATATTTTCATGCAGGAGTTAAAAATATATATGCTGTATGTTTCCCAATTGTGAAGTAGTTTAGCATACTTCTTTAGACTTCAATACTTTCGTCTGTAAGAATTACACATTTTGTTTAGGATCCAAACTTACGTCTTTATCAGATAAAGGGAATGTGTTATTTTCACAGAGTTAATTTTAATATAAAAATGTTCCGAGTGTCAGCACTATAAAATAAAATCATTTGAGAGATGACTATAATGGAGGATATCCTATGATATCCATGTCACATAATTACTGCAAATGATTAAATCTGTGTGCCAAGAGACAAGATAGCTGTGACAGGAAAAGAAGGTGACACCAAATGCTGCATAACGCTATTTGTCCTGAATGTTGCTTTCTATAGAAGATCAGAAGCTCAAAAAGTTTCACTTTGGATAATGTTCTATTAGTAATGAAATTATATTCCCAACGCCCGCCTAATGAAATTGATAGATCTGATTATTAACATGTACGGGTGCTTCTCACATCAAATGGCTGAAAGTTATTGTCCTAGCCGACATCGCATCCGACATCCCACATCCGGGTCTTTATTCTTTCAATATACAGAGGATCAATTCAGCCGAGATCTTCCCATGCCTGAACTCACTTATGATCAGAGAACTCTTTTGTCCCCGAGGTCTGAATCTGATTGTCAGTGTTTGCCTTGTGCAATGCTGAAAAAGGTTATTGTCACTCTATTGTTACTATTTAGACACTCTTGCTACGAATGTCATGACATATTGTACATTTTAGTTTTGTTTTGAAGAAGTTCTCGATATATACTGGCATTTTCCCTCAATTCTCTCAAATGTGTTCCATTAAAGATGTGCTTTGGGAAAGACAGCAATAACAAAGGTTACAGTTTGTTAGAATCACCATCAAATATAACTCACTTCCTGGACAAAACTGAATAACATGTTGTTACCGTGTTGTTGAAAAGTAAGAATCATTGATGAAAGGTATTTAGGAATAACACAAATGTTATTTAGATGTGTGTTGTTTAGGCAGGATATGTTATTTGTGTATACGATGCAGGTTTATTCGCAGGAAGGCGACTTTTTAGTTTTAGTTTTTCGCACGAAGGCACCTTTGCTGTTTAGTGTTGTTGCAGTAGTGTTTATGTAAGGGCTTACCGGGAGATTAACGGCTGATTAGCGTAAGGGTGGCGACTAAAATTTGTTCTAATTTCTACGTGAACACAGTTCATGGGTCAGTTCATGGTGTCACTAATTTGGTGAACTGTTATTTACGGTTGAGTGGTAATCATAAGAATTTGTGAGTTCGTATCCATCGCATAAAACAACAATGTCAACAGTGGCGATACAAGATTTTCTGAGACATGGCGAACACACAGTTACAGTACAAGTATCTACCTACAGCTCGAGGTGGAAGGTATTTGGTAGTTGCAAGTTATATGTACAGAATCAGTAAGAGAAAAGCAAATAGATTATTATGAATAAAATGAACATGAACGTCTTGTGGCTGTCGGCTTCGTCTGGGATAAGGGTTCTTGTATAAACACCTGAACCCATTGTTGCAAATTTCCACCCTTTTCGCACGAAGGCCCATGTTTTACACGCCCCAAAAAGTCGCCTTTCTGCGAAGACACCACAATGCCCATGATCAGGTCAATTACAGTCTTAGTCCTGGTGGGCATCTGGTGCTTTCTGAATTTCTTTTCCATACCAGTGATAAACGTGTTTGAAAACCACAACAAACATCATCTGTGCCGTCCATTGAGCAATATGTGTATGCAGGTTCGTATACTACTGTACACCTACCGCGTCTAGCATGTGATCACAATTCTTCAAGTGGCTTTACAGTTGACCGTTCTATGTTTGACGAACATGTTGTTACTGTCTTTATGTTGTTGAAGAATAAGAGTTATTGATGGAAGGTATGTAGGATTCGTTTTGATTTCTATGCAGGAGCTATGTGTATAAAGAATATCCATAAGGAGAAGTCGGTTTAGTGTCTTTTGCTGCTTTCTGGATTTTGTTAACATACACAGTGAAAAACGTAGAAATCAGAAACACCAACATCTAATTTCCAGAGATGCCTTCCAGAGATGTGTATGTATGTATGCAGGATGTTTCAAACAGATTCCAGAACAGTTTGTGGAACCTCGTGCTGCGAGCTGTTTCTGAGTATATGACAAAACAAAAAAAAAAAACAAAAACACACACACACAGAAAAATTGATGTTTTCCATACATGGTCGGCATCCGTACACAGTCGGGAGTTACCTGTTTCCTGACGCCATCACTGAATGGAACGGCATCATTGTAACTTTGTGAATGTGATTGTGTGATGAATATAAACATGCTCGTCTCATCTCATGGTGATGTTCACTGATATCCACGTACAAAATAGTATTTTCCAATCAGAATTGTATTCTTACAGCTGTGTTTTATGTTGTAATGATATATTATTGTCGCCTCATTCCCTTCTTATATATGCATATTGCTACAAAGATGCTTTAATAAACAGCGTGTAAACTTGTCTCAGTGTTTTAGTTGGGTTTGTTTGCATTGTAGAAACGTCTGTGTAGAATGGTAGCTCCATTCGGATGGGATTCGAATGGATTCGGACACCTCACTGTGGTCAGTCCCACCCAAGACCCTACCTTACATATCACTTCCTGGTTGATCACACTTCACTGTGGTCACCCACCCAAGACCCTACCTTACATATCACTTCCTGGTTGATCACACTTCACTGTGGTCAGTCCCACCCAAGACCCTTCCTGGTTGATCACACTTTACATATCACTTCCCTGGTTGATCACACTTCACTGTGGTCAGTCCCACCCAAGACCCTACCTTACATATCACTTCCTGGTTGATCACACTTCACTGTGGTCAGTCCCACCCAAGACCCTACCTTACATATCACTTCCTGGTTGATCACACTTCACTGTGGTCAGTCCCACCCAAGACCCTACCTTACATATCACTTCCTGGTTGATCACACTTCACTGTGGTCAGTCCCACCCTAGACCCCACCTTACATATCACTTCCTGGTTGATCACACTTCACTGTGGTCAGTCCCACCCAAGACCCTTTACATTTACATATCACTTCCTGTGGTTGATCACACACTTCACTGTGGTCAGTCCAGTCACACCCAAGACCCTACTTTACATATCACTTCCTGGTTGATCACACTTCACTGTGGTCAGTCCCACCCAAGACCCTACCTTACATATCACTTCCTGGTTGATCACACTTCACTGTGGTCAGTCCCACCCAAGACCCTACTTTACATATCACTATCATTTCACTTCCCTGTGGTCACTTCCACACTTCACTGTGGTCAGTCCACCCTACCCTACTTTACATATCACTTCCTGGTTGATCACACTTCAGGTCCAGTCCCAATCAAGACCCTACCTGTGGTCAGTCCACCCCCAAGACCCTACTTTACATATCACTTCCTGGTTGATCACACTTCACTGTGGTCAGTCCCACCCAAGACCCTACTTTACATATCACTTCCTGGTTGATCACACTTCACTGTGGTCAGTCCCACCCAAGACCCTACTTTACATATCACTTCCTGGTTGATCACACATTCACTGTGGTCAGTCCTGTGGTCACCCCCAAGACCCTACCTTACATATCACTTCCTGGTTGATCACACTTCACTGTGGTCAGTCCCACCCAACACCCTACCTTACATATCACTTCCTGGTTGATCACACTTCACTGTGGTCAGTCCCACCCAAGACCCTACCTTACATATCACTTCCTGGTTGATCACACTTCACTGTGGTCAGTCCCACCCAAGACCCTACCTTACATATATCACTTCCTGGTTGATCACACTTCACTGTGGTCAGTCCCACCCAAGACCCTACTTTACATATCACTTCCTGGTTGATCACACTTCACTGTGGTCAGTCCCACCCAAGACCCTACCTTACATATCACTTCCTGGTTGATCACACTTCACTGTGGTCAGTCCCACCCAAGACCCTACTTTACATATCACTTCCTGGTTGATCACACTTCACTGTGGTCAGTCCCACCCAAGACCCTACCTTACATATCACTTCCTGGTGGTACCTTACACTTGCCGCAGTTTTTCTGTTGTAACATTGCTGACGTTTTGTACCTTGCAGTTCTATTGAAAACGAAAATCCACGGCCTCTGTGCACGTTACATTAATGTTATTATCATAGTTCTAAAATACGTCATACTTTCCTCAATCTTTTATCAAATAATTGTGACTTTATAAGATTGGACTATACAGCACATTTTGTATACTTTAATCAATAACGAGAATACTAAACGCTGTCTAAGCTAGTGTTGATCTTCATTTTCCAAGTTGTAAGATAATTAGCATTATGTGTTAAAGCTTTAAGACTACATGCATGGTCCAAGTCTATAATCTGTCAGTATCGATATAGCTCGTCTTTATTCCCAAGTTTTCTTGATAAGCTTTATGTACTAATTGTTAAGACGACATGTCCGGGGAGAGAAGTAACATTGCTCTACGATGACACGCTCCCGTGAAACCTGGTAGATAATTTTGGTCATTTCTGCATTCTCAAGTCTTTCAAAGCTACAAAGTAATCTCATGATTTAGATAGTCAGCAGTGTAGATTAGCAACATTTGTAAGTATTGTTAAAAGAAGTGACCATTGAACGTGCGACCATATCCCGAACTCATGAAAAGCCCCGAATAAAGACTGGCCACTAATCGATGATACTTTTCTTGGTTATTTGAAGGTAAGCCATGTTCAATTCATTCATTGTATATTCTTAAATTATGTTCATATTTTCTCTGTTTTCTATGGCGTTCCATACTGTTTACACCAATATTATCATTAAACTATGCAGTATTGATTAAGTTACAACAGGAGGGAATATCTGTATCATAGTTAGGTGAGACCACGTAGCACCAATCTAACATTTTAATTTACATCAACATAGTTTACAGAAAAATATAGTAAAATTAAGACATAATATAAGTTCAGTAAATCACAATTACATGTACATATAATCGGGCTCGTGGAAGCAAAGAAATTCTTGTGCACATGTTGTATATATTATTGCGTGTTTGCAATCAAAGTGTATGCCAGAGAATGTATTTCTAAATGATTATTATATGTGTTTAATTCAAATGTTCCATGCTACCTTTCATCAAACAATGTTTAAACAATGTACATATTACGTGAGGTAAATATACTGAATACGCAAAACTCTTGAGCCCACATAACACTTGTTGTTTTATTCAGCTGCTCACATACTGCTGCGTCATCAGTATTGTTAATCTCTATGTAGACGTTTACCCATTCAATTACATGCCGTTCGGCATTGTCAGTAAGGGTTATATCATTTTGTGGTGTTTCGTTAATATTTTATTTCGCAATTCACTAACCGAGTCGCAGTTACCTCCATTAGTTAAAAGCACATGGAAACAGGCCGCAATGGCAAACTTGCAACAGGACTTGGATTCCATCCCACTAACAGTGAAAATAGGCCACCAAAGTGTATGTATATGATGCATATGAGTTATAACATTACCTAGATGTTGTTTCTATAACAGTTTTACATGTCAGCCATAAGGTTTGTTCATGCATCAAAATGTGCACCGCATCGGTTTTTTCATTCCCGCGCAGTGCAGCGTGGCGATTCAAATTAGTTTACAGTATGTTTGAGCTCTGTACAGAGTAAGTTAGTATTATAAATGGTATTTTATATTTAGTTTCCAGTGTTAGCATATTCTAGTGTAGTCTAAACAGTGATATTTTCACAAAGAGTTAATTATTGTTAGAAATTTGTACAGATAGCCTTCATGTCCAGCTTGTCAATTTGAAGTGCACGTACAATTTCAAGATATCGGTCACGCTAGCGCTTCACTGTAATACTGTCGTTACACTGTTCAATTCTGCATTATCAAAATGCTTCCAGATTGTGTTCTGACTGGAACCTTTCGTTTGTTTCAGTCTTTTACGGGAAAGAGTTCCTTCCGTTCCCCCAACTCTAAACCAAACTCTAAACCTAACCCTAAACCTAACCCTAAACCTAGCCCTAACTTAAAGTTTGGATTTTTAATCATTTTGTGAGTTCTCTAGTAATTGTTGTGTTAAGTTTTGTTTATAATTCTAGAATATTTATACATATTATTTGGGATGGGTGAACGGAGGAACTCTTACCCTTTACGTATTATCACGGACAGGAATAAAGTTTATGTCATCGTAACCTTCTTTCGTCTGTACAATTCTTAATTCATGATTCTCAGAATATATTAATTGTGCAAGGTTATGAATTTGCTGATGTTTTATTATGAAATGTAAATGACTCATGAAATGCACTAAAGACTGGTGGATGCTTCTCTTGGTTATTTGAAGGGGTTGCGGTCCCAAGCTAATTCCCCGACAACAAATTCTAGGTATTATAATTCCCAGCCTAGACCAAATATAAACCCTAAAAAGGTTACTATGGGGTCAAGGTTATTATAATATCATGAAATCGACGACACTGTTGACAAGAGGGGAAACTGTTTGCTGTTACGAGATAAAGAGTACACCGGAAATACTAGTAGAATCGCCCCTAGGGGTGGAAGGTTTTCAGAAACTACGTATACTGAATCAGGCACAAGAAGAAACTGTTCTGAATAATAGAAACAGGTTTTATATGTTATGCATGTAGCTACCAACAGATGTGAAACAGATTTACCCTGGTATATTTCAAGGACTAAATGCTAGCTGTGACCCATACCCAGGTTCAGATAGGGAGGATGGGCTGCACAGACGAGCTGGGCCCTGGTTCAGACAGGGAGGATGTGCTACAGACACTGGGCCCAGGTTCAGATAGGGGGATGGGCTACACGAGCTGGGCCCAGGTTCAGACAGGGAGGATGTGCTACAGACACTGGGCCCAGGTTCAGATAGGGAGGATGGGCTACACGAGCTGGGCCCTGGTTCAGACAGGGAGGATGTGCTACAGACACTGGGCCCAGGTTCAGATAGGGAGGATGGGCTACACGAGCTGGGCCCTGGTTCAGACAGGGAGGATGTGCTACAGACACTGGGCCCAGGTTCAGATGGGGGATGTGCTACACTGGGCCCAGGTTTAGATAGGGAGGATGGGCTACACGAGCTGGGCCCTGGTTCAGACAGGGAGGATGTGCTACAGACACTGGGCCCAGGTTCAGATAGGGGGATGGGCTACACGAGCTGGGCCCTGGTTCAGACAGGGAGGATGTGCTACAGACACTGGGCCCAGGTTCAGATAGGGAGGATGGGCTACACGAGCTGGGCCCTGGTTCAGACAGGGAGGATGTGACTACAGACACTGGGCCCAGGTTCAGATAGGGAGGATGGATGGGCTGCACGAGCTGGGCCCTGGTTCAGACAGGGGAGGATGTGCTACAGACACTGGGCCCAGGTTCAGACAGGGAGGATGTACTACAGCTGGGCCCAGGTTCAGATAGCTGGGCCCTGGTTCAGACAGGGAGGATGGGCTACACGAGCTGGGCCCTGGTTCAGATAGGGAGGATGTGCTACACGAGCTGGGCCCAGGTTCAGACAGGGAGGATGGGCTACACGAGCTGACCCAGGTTCAGACAGGGAGGATGTCCTACACATGCTTAGATAGGGGACCGTCCTCCCTGTCTGAAACTAGGCCCTGTGCTGGCCCCAGCACACAACTCATTTATCATGACTTTAGGGTTAATTATCACTTATGTAGATTTTGAGGCATATTGTTTAGCAGTTTCGTGGGTTTTAATCAAAACCGTAAGGATGGATTCCTATGTTTCAATTCTCCTGGAATAAGAAATGACGTACGTTGTTTAGAAAGTACTGTGATCATTACAAAAATGATCAGAAA